TTGCTTCCATATTCAGTCTATCAGCAATTGGGTCTAGGTGTACTGAACCCAACCAAATGCACCTTACAGTTGGCTGATAGATCTGTCAAGGTCCCTATGGGTGAGTTAGAGGATGTTCTGATTAAGGTTGGAGATTTTATTTTTCCAGTAGATTTTGTAGTCTTGGAAACACAGCCTGTTTCCAATCCCAAAGGACAGACACCTGTCATCTTAGGACGACCGTTCTTAGCCACTTCTAATGCTCTCATCAACTGTAGAACTGGTCAAATGAAGCTGTCCTTTGGGAATTTGACTGCTGATCTCAACATTTTTAATCCAGGGGACCAACCAAATAATCAGCCTCTAGAAATAAACTACATTCAGGAAAGATCAGAAGAAGAAGAAGAAGAAGAAGAGTGTGATTTAAGTTTTGAGGAAATTTTTGATGAAGAGTTAGAGTTTTTAGAAGAAGCAGATCAGGTCCTTGAGAATAATAAAACTGTGTTAAACATTTGCTGCTTTGAATTAAATTTTGAAGAACTCTTTCTTGATGAACTTAGATTCTTGGAGAATAATCAACAACCAAATTTTCAGAACTTCACAGAAGAATTGGTTGTTAGAAAACAAAACTTCACAGTACAAGAGTCTAAGTTCATTAAGAAATACAAAATGCATGACACCAATAATACCTACCTTACCTTGTTGCAAGAATTATTGAACACCCCGAAATGCTTAAAAATTCACATTATTGATTATATCATTCTGAATTTGTTTAAAATCCGGGGAAGAATTTTCAACAGTAAGGTAGGATTCAATGTAGAACAGGAACTCTTCATGTTGAATATTTCATTCTACATTGTTTATTTTGTTTATTTCAGAATAATAAAAAGAATTTATTCTTCTCTCATTTGAGAGTTTCTTGTTCAGTTGCTTAAAAGAAAAAGAAAAAAAAAGAGAAAAAAAAGAAAAAAAAAGAAAAACAAAAAACAAAAAAAGCAATAATTTTGTTTTCATCCTCCTCAGACCATAAGTAATTGCAATTTTATCACCGACAAATGTTAAGTGCTTCACTTCCTATCTGCTTTACTTTATGCATCATAGGGTTTTGCATTAAGGACATGCAAAAATTAGGTGTGGGGTGCGGGAATTATTATTTTTTCTCTTAAATTACATTTTTAGCTTACATTTTCTTTCCTTTTTCCTTTAAAAAAAAATTATTAAAAATAGCATACACTTCCAAATTGACTAGAGTTATTTAATAATTGATTTATTTGATAATTTAAAATTTTCTAATCCCTAAGTATTATTAAGTTCACCTAATGATAACTCTAAATAAACTTTCTTAAGAAATATTTTTAACAGTAGTATACCTTTACCTTAACGCCCTTTGACTTGCTTTATTTAAAATAATAAAATTTTTGGCATGCTTAGCTTAAAAGTTATAAAAATAATTTTTTCAAAAGTGTCTTGATTTACATACTTTTTTCAAATATATATACCATTACAAAAAAAAAAATTGCAAAGAAGAGACACAGAGTGCGCAAAATGGGCCAACAAAAAAAAAACTCTTGAATTTCAATGTGCATTCTATCTTATTAAGCCTAAGCTGACCGAGTAATTAAGCCCAAGGAGTATTTCCATACTTAATGACCTAAGCCCATTTGGGTTGGGATCCATTGGCCCAAAACTCGTTAAATGGTCACTTAGAAAGCCCGTTAAAGTAGAAAAAAATCACCAAGGATGAAAGAGTTAAAAAAAACTAATAAATGTTTTATAGTTGTATATATGGTCTTGGAAAATATTTTAAATCAAGCAACTTGAAAATTATTTAAAACAAAGAGTTAGCATGTTCTTTTCAAAACTTTTAAATTAAATTTCTAAGTTTGGCTTGGTTTTGTATTGCTACAATGAGAAGATTTTCTTAAAAATATACCTTAGAGTTATATATAAAAATGTTTTCTTGAGTGATAACTGGCTCCAATTAGATTATCTAAAAGTTATCAAGTGAATTTAGTTATTTACTGACTTCTTTAATTTGGCAAGTTGACCGAATTTTGTGGGTATATTCACTGCAAACCCTCACGAGACTACAACTCGTCCACTAGGGTAACCTAGGGGTTTAAAGGCTTGTTGTATGCGCTAAATACAACCGCGATTCCTGCGAAAGTGAGTTAGGATTTTCTTTTTATTTTCTTTGCTAGAAGACTAGCAAAAGTTTAGGTGTGGGGGTATCTGATAATCATATTTTATTATAATTTTATACCCTCATTATCTATTTTATATGAATAAATATACCACTAATAATTATTTTTATCTTTTAATTGCAGGTTAATGAAGAATAAATCTCAAACTCTCATCTCTCAACAAAAACCCATTGATTAAATGAAGAAATGAAGCAAAGAAGCACATTGGAAAATCAATTTCCAAATTATCCAAAAGCCCAGAATGAAGTCGTGTAGCCTGTAGAAGCCGGAGAAAATCAAAAATCCAATATGAAAAGAAATCATATTCAAAATGGTTGGCCACAAAGAAACGACGATATCTCCTAATCCGGAAGGCGGAATTTAACATATAATATATGAAAATCGCCTATCTCGAAGAGACGAAGCCAACCGTGAAGTCAGAATTCTTATTGGAACATCGATGCCAGCATCGATGCAGGGATCCTTACCCGAAAGCAAATCTTCAAATCCTAGATCTCCAATCCGCGATCTTCAAGCTCCAAGCGTTTCCTTCACAAAAAACACACAAGTTAAAGAACCAAAATAATTAAAGCGCGTCAATGGCTGATTTTGCTTGTCTTGGGGCTCAAGTTTGATCCAATGGCTCTCATTCACTGATGTTTACTATAAATAGGGGTAGAGAGTGAGGGGTTAGAGGTGTGAAAATTTTTGTAACTCCTTTTGGAGAGGAGGGCTACTCTTAATTGAGAAGGCCTTCCAAAATTGTAACTTTAGTTGCAATTAATAATAATAATTTTTTCACCACTTTAAATTTTTTTCTTCTTCTCTTTGTTGGATGATGAAGATGAAGATGAAGATGGAGAATTATTTGAAGGTTTGCATTTCTTTTCTTTTTCTCTTTTATTGCTTATTAGTGTAGATTTATTTCTATGCTTGTAGTTTAGATTTTATTTTCTTGTTAAATAGCTGCTTATAGAATAGATTTATTTTCGTGCATTTAATTCTTGTAATTTTATTTTGTAGTTTAGATTTTGTAATTTATTTTGTAGTTAGATTTTAATTTCTTGCACTATTCACCTTGAGGCTAGAACCCTCTTAGGTTTAGTTTTTCTTTTTGTTTATTTTTATTTTTTTTGATTCGCCTTTAGGCTAGAACCCTCTAAGGAATCACCCTTTTCTAAGAAGTGGGTTCTAGCCTAAAGGCGAATCAAAAAAAATAAAAATAAACAAAAAGAAAAACTAAACCCAAGAGGGTTCTAGCCTCAAGGTGAATAGTGCAAGAAATTAAAATCTAACTACAAAATAAATTGCAAAATCTAAACTACAAAATAAAATTGCAAGAATTAAATGCACGAAAATAAATCTATTCTATAAGCATAAAATAAATCTAAGACAAGAGGGTTCTAGCCTCTTGGCTATTTAACAAAAAAATAAAATCTAAACTACAAGCATGAAAATAAATCTAAACTAATAAGCAATAAAAGAGAAAAAGAAAGAAATGCAAACCTTCAAATAATTCTCCATCTTCATCTTCATCTTCATCTTCATCATCCAACAAAGAGAAGAAGAAGAAAATTTAAAGTGGTAAAAAAATTATTATTATTAATTGCAACTAAAGTTACAATTTTGGAAGGCCTTCTCAATTAAGAGTAGCCCTCCTTTTCAAAAGGAGTTACAAAAATTTTCACACCTCTAACCCCTCACTCTCAACCCCTATTTATAGTAAACATCAGTGAATGAGAGCCCTTGGATCAAACTTGAGCCCCAAGACAAGCAAAATCAGCCATTGACGCGCCAGGCATCGATGCCCGCATCGATGCCTGCATCGATGCTGGCATCGATGCTCCAATAAGAATTCTGACTTCACGGTTGGCTTCGTCTCGTCGAGATAGGCGATTTTCATATATTATATGTTAAATTCCGCCTTCCGGATTGGGAGATATCGCCGTTTCTTTGCAACCAACTATCTTGATACATTTTTTTTTCATATTTAATTTTTTTATTTTCTCCGGCTTCTACAGGCTACTCGGCTTGATTCTGGGCTTGGGATTTTTGACTCTTGCTTGTGTTCTTCATTTAATTCATGGGTTTTTGTTGAGATAAGAGATCTTGGGCTTTATTCTTCACTAACCTGCAATTAAAGATAAAAAACAATTATTAGTGGTATATTTATTCATTAAAAATAAATAATGAGGGTATAAAATTATAATAAAATGTGATTATCAAGAGGAGGAGGAGGGGAGAGGGAGAGATCTCTTCTGAGCTCAGATAGAGGAGGAGGGGAGAGGGAGAGATCAGTTGGGGATGAAGGGTAGTTTAGGATTTTTTTAAATTTTTTGGATAAATACAGTACAAATAATGGGTGTATTGTACATTTGGGTTTAAAAATAAGTGGATAAATACAGTACAAATAATGGGTGTATTGTACATTTGGGTTTAAAAATAAGTGGGATGTGATATAGTGGGTCTATTGATGTTTTGAAAAGTGAATGGGTTTTTAAATAAGTTGGGGTAAAACTTTAGGTTAAAAGAGGATTTTCCCTAGAAAATATCACAAACATAGCTTATAGCTAAACTGCCTAAAAGACGGTCGCATTCCCTCAGGAAGCGTCTCCGCTCAATACTTCGACTTCGAGCATGTTTCTAATCACTTAAATGTGTGATGACGTTTACATGCTCATACATGGAATATAAATCTTCTCGGAACATTACTATTATGAATGATGAACTTCAAATGCAAGGCCCGTTGGCCGGAAAAATAACGAGCTCGCGCCACAAAATTTCACCAAATAAATGTTTTAGCAAAGATCATTTCTGTGTCACACTTTGTCCCTACGTTTTTTTTTTTTTTTTGCCCCCGTGGGAGAATGCTATTCCTTTGATTGACCGAGACAATTGTTTGTTTGATAGACCTTGTTCGTTTATACACTGAAAATCTAGTCCACAACAAAGCTCGCCCACAACCAAGAACAAGAAAAAGCAAATGGATGATTAAGGGAGGGGGAAAAGATAAATTCACATCAAACTATTGCACACTCTTTGTAAAGACGACGGCCAGATATTTCATACTTGCAACTATGCAGGGGGTGAGATTTTCGCCCCGTTTATCTCCGAGCTTTGTACACTTCGATTTTACTCCGAAGTCCATGAAGGATCCAACGCTGGAAGCTGATAGTCATCAGGTTTAAGAGCTATAGCGAAATCCGGCAAAGTCGGTGCTTTCTCTATTATCCTGCAGCATTCACCAAGCAAGGAACCATATAAACAAAAGGAACCAAATCTGCATTCTCATACTGGTGATAACGGAATTGGCTGCGGATAGGAGAGAGGTAAAGTCTCTGGTTGTAAGTTTCTAAAGAAGGGGGTAACTGCATATACACTCCATACAGCCACTTGCTGCTCCTAAACTTGTTTATTAGAATTTTGACCCCCAATACCAAAACGGTATTGTCTCCATGTTATGTATGATCTGTCATGTGGGTCTCGCATGACATCAATGTGTTGCAGATAGACCCCCTAATGTATCAGTGTGTCACAGAGAGACTCCGTATTCTCTTATAAATGCCAAATACATATCTCCTACAGTACGTGTATAAATAATAAAGAGATGACTTCATTTACTATCAGGGGTCATGCTACTCAGAAAAATAGGGGTAAAAAAAGTGGTAACCTTTTATAAATACAGAGGTTGTATCTGCAGTTGAAGGGCACTAGATTTACCGTTCATGACTGTAGAGGTCCCGGTTGATGCGAACCTTGCTTGAAGCATCTTTGGGGATCTTCTCAGAAAGATACTTCATAGATCCCCAGAGAGGTGGATTCCTGCAAAGAGATTAGCCGTTATAGTCAATATAATGAATTTAGAACATTGATCTTTTCTGCGAAACAAAGAATAACGTTGATGATTGATTTATATTCATACTGAACCGAACTGCAAACGGAAAAAACATTGATTACAGTAAAAAGCTGAAATTTTCCCATATTTATAAGACAATTCTAAGGGCTTAATGTCCAACAAACACTTGAAACTAGCAAATGTGGCCAAGCTTCACTTTACACAGATTCAAGAGCAAAAAATCTGTAACTGGTCTTGTAGCAACTTTCATGCAAATCACTACTAATTGGGAAGAGATTCTGAAGCCGATTTAGAACAAGGAAAAGGCATTAGCTTGTCTTATTAATAAATAAAGTTTAAAAAAAGAAGAAGAAGAAGAAAGGTTTTAGCCAGTTTCTCAAATCTTGATTTATTCTCTTGAAACAAAGAAATATCATAACTGGATAAAATCAATTTTGTGGTTAATAGCACTTTTTCTGGCATCTCAAGTTATCCACTAGCAATGTGGCAGCGAATTAAATGATAACAATAACAAAAGAAAAGCTGAAAAGAGATTCATTGAGAACTGGTTTTAATATAAGGGACCTAACAGACCTCGATGTAGGAGGCATCGAGTTGAAAGCTTCACAGGCTTTTTTGCTTTCTTTGAGAAACTCCTCTGCTGCTTGTAATGCTGCAACAGCCATCCCATGGGATTTCTCTGTATTCCCCTCGTCAAGGATCATGCCATGGTAGTAATATGCAGCAGCCTGTCACCAAGGAAAGAAGGTGGAATGTGCATTCAGAATATTTACATGCAGTTAGTGATTTGGTCCGTAAGACCATGAATATGATGGTAATACCAAGCTTGCATCCATCTTCTCATGTTATCAATATGACCACAATATTCTAGTCACATCATATTTGGTCTCTAATCAGGTGTATATTTTCTTTATTTGAAATTATGCAGGATTGCATTTCTACTTTACACACTTTTTTATTTTTAATATTTTCCCTTGTTTCTTTCATTTTTATAGAATCAGCTAATCAGGTGCCTTATCCTAACATATGCTCATAACTCTGAACTCTATGTGCTAATCCTTTTGAATTAGTGATGATAAATTTGAGCATTTTTCTTTGTGAGCTATGGTCGTAGAATCATGGATTCATCGTCACAATGTGATTTTGTGATATTGTACCAATATACAAACTTAAATTGGGAATCCGCTGTGTAGCATGCTTACGTAAGTGTACTGTGTATTTCTGGTATGTTACGAGTAGTATATTTGAACTTGTTGAAGGGTTGCACTTCTTATTCCGCACGAGTTTTTGAATTTTGTATAACTTTTCATATTTCTTTCATTCCACCACAGAAATAATTTAAATGTTTTAAACTGAAAACTCAGTATCTACATTCTATAGCAGAGGAATGCTCATAGGTATGACGTGTTGCTATGCACAACTGCTTTTTAAACAATGTTGACTGACACTGTCCCACAATCATTTTCCTATGCCTGAACATTGACACATTGATCTTACCCTTTTAAATATACTCAAACAATTGATGGTTAATGACCTATATTGCAGCACACTAATATATAACAGTAATATTAATAACTCTAAATTTCAACTGCAGTAATAACTAACCAAGTCAAGATATCAAGTGAAAAGGCTAATGCATAGTGTTAAAACCAGTGTTTGAAATAGCTTTCTGAAACTCGCTTAAACTTTTTGAAGGATAATCGTTCGAAATTCATAAGTGAAGCTATTTATCCCTTGAAGCCTACGGTTCATCACTTAGCGCATAACTAAAGTGTGTGATTCATGCCCCGTGGAGCGCTTTTCTTTTAAAGCACGTGATTTAGGAAAAATAGGAGGACATAGACGAGTTTTTTTACTAAATTTAAAATGCCTCTAGATTATCATTTTTCCCCCTCTCAAGGTTAACTTTAGGTCATGTGCGTTTAATATGACCATATGAATTGGAATAAGATATATATAATATAGGTGTAGCTTGGTTTATTATGATTTGTGTCTGTGCTTAACATATTTAATTCTTATTTACTAATCAAGACCTGAGTAAATCTATTGTAAATGTTTATAACAATATATGTTATATGTTTATAACATTTATCTAATCTAATCTAATCTAATACTATTATAAAAGTGTGTTGCTATGTTAAAACATTTCTTCCGAAAATATCTTCCAAGTCATGCTAAAACACATACATGCATACATAAAAACACATATATAAACACATATATGAATACATAAAACACATACATACATAAATCATACCGCTTCAAATCTTTTTCATAACCACCAATTAAATTAAATGTAATAAATACACCTCCAATTTGCATTCACTACCATTAAAAAAATAATTCAATTAAACTCATTTTCTATTACTATATAATAACTCAATATAATAATACTATGTAGTAGTAATAATAGTAATACTATGTAATAACATAGCCTACTATGCAATAGCTTCAAATTCTTATCATAACTGCCAATTAAATATCATCATCAATTTAACAACCCTACTAACTACAAAATTAAACTCTAATCATTCATATCCCTAACGTCTCTAGGATCATTTCCTATCATAACCATCAATTAAATTAAATGTAATAAATACACCTCCAATTTGCATTCAATACCATTAGAAAATTAATTCAATTAAACTCCTTCTCTATTATTATATAATAATAACTCAATATAATAATATCTATTAGCATGTACTAAAGAAATGATAATAAAAAATAAATATCTATAATTAGATTAATAGGAATATAAAACATTTAATGTTAATAAACCAATAAATACTTAGCGATATGTTAACAATTATTTATAATATATCAAGTATATCATGAGTAAGAGTAAAAGTCCCAAGGCAACAAGGCGTTCAGATTCTTTTGCAGGCATTTACTCCGTAATCAATAGATTTGGGTGTGCAATATAATTATTTCAGTTTATAACAACTTATTGCTAAAAATAATAAATACATACATGTTTTTCCAGTAACATGCAAACAGAATAAAGATGTATAATATAACGCACGTATTGATATTTCAGTTTATAACAACTTATTTGTCAAAAAACGACAAGATGTTCGAGATTCTTATACCAAATTAAGATTTCCGATCAACGTATCATGAAGCTTAATTGATTCACCTAAGAGGTAAAATTTATCATTCTTGAGTGAGTGTTTATTAGAAAAAAAATCTCATTTCTTGGTTTAGTATGATTATTGGAATCCAGTAAAAAAGTTTAATTTTATCGATAAATGGGTGCAGCTGTCGCAAAAGTGAGGTCGGAATGAAGGCACTAGCTTTGGAGGTATCTGAGCAGGTCAAAATCTTTAATTCTTCATTCTCTATTTTTTATATATTTTATCTCTCATTTCTTGCCACATATCAATGTATATATATTTTAATGTACACACCTATATCAATATATAGTACGTAGAAGCTAAAAAAAGACTATTAAGGATTCCGAGCTCTCTAAGTGAGGGAATCTGAATTCTCTCCAATCAGATGATAATTAGAGTAGAGGTTCGACTCCTCTCTAATTAAGGGGATCCGGATCTTCTCCACTAATCTTAATATTTATCCTATATTTGGATTTCAATGAATGAAATTACGACAAGCAGGATTTCTGCATTGTTTTGAAAATCACTTTTCTATTAAAATCCCCTATTGTGAAAACCAATATGACAATAGTGCAAAAGAAAAAAATAAAAGTTCCAATTTATACAACTTGTGCCTAAGATCTTGAATTAAAATACATAATTGTTAATTTCTACAAATGATGCCTATGATCGGCTCTTGTAATTAAAACGAAAGTTAATGACTCGAATAATTGGACCATCTCTAATTAACACCAAATTAGAGAGAAACTGAATCCGAAGTGAGGACAGCGTCCATTTTATGGTGAGTTTTTACTTTTGTTTTAATAAAAATTCATTGCAAATTATTTATTAGTTTTAAATTAGTTTTTTTTTTTGTTTCCTAAGATGGTTTTATATGATCGAGTAACGAGATTTTTCTAAACTTTTTCAACTTCCTCTAAATTAACTATTGCTCAGAATTCTTTAAATAGGTTTTGATATAGGTTTTGGTGTAGTTTTTAAATTTTATGGAGGGCGAAGTGGGAAGCTTATAAATGTTACTAGGGCTTGTATGAAATTTATGAATTTGTGGTGGTGCAACTACAACTCAACTCAAGAATCTAAATTCGCTCCTGGTTTCACATATTTTGCACATATAGATCCTCAGTTGTATCTAGATTCACTTAAATACCCTAAAGTTTCTATAAATTGTATTTTTAGTACTAATTCCAGAGCCATCGGTGCTTAGGAGTAATAGTACTCGAGTGGTGCATAGTTATAAGAAATTACATGCTGAAGAAACTAAAGTCTAAAGAGGATATTGGCGTATGTCCTTGGGCTACATATTTTGCTTGATTTTTCGGTGATTGTGTAGAGGCTTAACACTATTTGATTCATTGGTGGTGTGAAGTAATTTAGGGCTCTCATCAAGTACCCTCAGTCATGCAAACATGATAATTCTCCCTCAAGAACTCTCATGCAATGCTAATTTTAAAACACTTTAACTCTTACTATTTACTAAATTTACTATTAAACCTATCAAAATATTTAAATTCGATTAAGCCTTTTTATATTTGTGGTTCATTTGTAGTTATCTTTATGAGTGAACATTGTAATATATATTTATAACATGATAATTCTCCCTCAAGAACTCTCATGCAATGCTAATTTTAAAACACTTTAACTCTTACTATTTACTAAATTTACTATTAAACCTATCAAAATATTTAACTTCGATTAAGCCTTTTTATATTTGTGGTTCATCTGTAGTCATCTTTATGAGTGAACATTGTAATATATATTTATACATGACAAGGATAATAACTTTAATTATTCGTTGTGTTAGATAAGTTCTTATATAATTAAAAATTTTAGAACAAGAAACAAATACAATTTCACATGCAACGCGCGTGCACTATACTAGTAAATTAAAATATACTTAACTAGTGAGGCTTACGCCTTGCTTCGAAAAAGGGAATAACACTTCGCCTTGCACATCCACTTTTTTAGATATTGGTTAAAACACAGAAACAATTAACATACCTTTGCTTCTACATATTTCCATTTAATAAAAGCTCGATGTTTTTCTGCCCAGCCATTAGAAATAGCAAGCTGTGAAACGCTATCTTGTGCCTGCCACAGTTAAATGGGTCGCCATCATTTTGGCAGATAATGAAAAAAGCATCAGTGCTCATGATATGGCATCTCTTAGAATTTGGTAAGGATAGCATCTCGTAGAATTTTGTAAGATAAGAATGAAAGAAGCAATGGGTATAACACAAGTATTTAATAGTTTGTAAATCTCCAATCAGCATCCAATAAATAGGAGGAAAGAAGGAATATAAAAGATCAAAAATAAGCCAACGCGCCCATACCTGATGCCAGCATTTACCCATCTCACATGCCAATCTTCGCTTCACTGCTAATGTGGCCTTCGGACTGTCAATAGCCATCCCAAGTTGAATATCAATACCCTACAAAAACAAATGGATGAAGAAAGATTGAGTGCTAAATAATTTTTAATAGACTGCGAGACCAACTTAATTGCTTAAAAAGAAAATAGTATTTATGCATAAATCAGTTCAGCTAGAAAAGAGCTTCGATAAAAGACACAGAAGAATCATAAGCAGAATGGAAATACTATATTGCACTGATATGAATACGAATGTTTGAAGAAGAGAAATTTATTTAAATGCTATGATATGTATAAGGACCATTGTCCGACATTTCTCCTTTTTCCCATAAAAATGGGGGCATCCATAGAGAACAAGCACAAATCCAAGATAAGCCTCCTCACTAACATGACCTGAGTCTTACAACAAGCTGTCAAACACAAACCTTTTAATTGATTCCAAATACCTAGCCGAGGAAAACATGGGCAAGACCAAGAGCCATGCCGAATCTTAAAGGCCAGTTTGTAGATAGGTAGACCTATCCTTTCAAGTCAGTTTAAGATCATGAACGAAGGAGAAAACCTTAATTTTTTTT